ATAGATAGATAGATAGATAGATAGATAGAATAAATAGGTAGGTAGGTTAGGTAGGTAGATAGATAGAAGAGAGAGAGGGACAGATATTAGATTTTGAAGAATAGCCAAATCAGGCTGGGGCTGCAGAGAAAATAATTGCAAGAAATATTTTTGAAACAGGAACATCTATGCTTCTAAAAAATTGCTCCGTGCTCTAATAATCTCAACCTCAAAAACTTGAGGTTGTGTAGACTTCAACTCCCACAGTTCCCCAGGCTAAGAAACACCGCTTTCCTACAATGAGCGACGGACACCTTGCCCAATTTGTGTAAGAGGGGCAACCTATGAATACACAATTGCAGCTGCCCCCTTGATTTTTTTTGTTTTGTTTTTCTGACACAAATACACCTGGAGCCCTCAGAGAGAGAGGTAGGGGGAAATAAACCCCTCACCTCCAGCCTGCACACCTTTGAAACCCTGGGCAATCTTCGCTGTGTTGTCTTTCCTCCCCAGAACTCTACGAGGTGGTGAGGACGGTGAAAGAAGCCTCAGGACTATATTCCAGGTCTAGCATGCTCTACATGCGCCCCAAAAAGGCCGATAAGAACTCCATTTTCCAGTGCAAAGTCAGCTACAAGATGCCGAAGGGGAAAGTCAGCATGGAGGAATCGGAACCTTTCAATCTCACTTTGCATTGTAAGTGGGGTTGTCGGGGGCTCTTGCAGTTGTTCTCCTGTAGTCCCTGTTCCCTCCCCCCCCCAAAAAAAATGCTTTCCAGGAGGAGGGCAGTGAACCTGAATCACAAAAATGAAAATAGCCCCCCCCCTGTGGGGTTTTCAGAATACAGCTACTCCTTGACTTAGGGCTGCAATGGGAGCCCAACGTTTCTGTTTGCTAAGTGAAACAGCGGTTAAGGGAGCTTTACCCAAGGGTGGGATTCACAATTTTTTTTAACAACCGGTTAGGTGGGCGTGGCTAGGTGGGCGTGGCCATGTGACTGGGTGGGCGTGGCTGTTTTTGTAGCAAACCTACCCCCCTGGGGGTTTTTTTGCCTCTATTTTTGGGCGTTTTTGCTCCCAGAAAGCTTTCCTGGAGCCGAGGAAGACAAAAAAAGGAGCGGGGGGTGGGGGGTGGGACACACACACAGACACACACACAGACACACACACACACACCAGTGTGCCCCCTTTTGCCTCCTGGGCTTCAGGGAAGCCCCCTGGGCAAAGCAGTAAGACAGCGTGGGGGATCTGGCACAGCTGATCGTCGGCACAGCTGATCGTCGGCACAGCTGATCGTCGGCACAGCTGATCATTGGCACAGCTGATCGTCGGCACAGCTGATCGTCGGCACAGCTGATCGTCGGCACAGCTGATCATCGGCACAGCTGATCGTCGGCACAGCTGATCATTGGCACAGCTGATCGT